TTTTTTTACGGGGAAGGGGCCACAACGAGCCCCAAGGAAGCTTTGGGCAGACGTAAAGTGAGATACCCCTAGAAACCCCAACAAAGGGACCATCGAAAAACGTCATGACAAAATTCTACAAGTGGGGAAATTGCAAACCGGGCAAAAGGTGAGTCGACTTTTTGGGGAAGCTTCACTACGGACGACCCCCAAGGGGGTTTAAAAACATTGTTGTTGTTGGGGTTACCCAGATTAGGAAATGGATGGGGGCTTTTTGGTTTGAAGGATGGGGAGTGGGGAGGCAGAAAAGTATGTTTTCTGGGGCTGGGGAAAAAATTATTGTTGCCGTCTGGGTTTGACATCATGGAGGTAATGGGAGCAATCCTATTTCTGTCTCAGTGCGGGAAAGGGCAACGTTTTGTTGGCGACGTAGGAGGAGGCCCTGATTAGCAGGATAGGTCGAAAATAGAGAAAATTTGGAAGAAGGGGGGGAAAACCCTTCAATGTGGCATTTTCCCCAAGGAGAGGATTTGGGGAAAGGAAGGGTTTGGGTCCAGAGTTTTTGGTGTCAATTGTTTGGTTTGGACAAAAACTGAAGGAAAATGCGGTAACATTTTTTTGAAAAATGGGACCTCTTTTATGGCAAAAATGAATGTTTGAGGGAGGGGTTTTTTACTTGTCTAGGTGGGGGGGGGGGAGCAGGGCCCCAAAACGCGTGGAGGGAGCGGTTAGGTTTTTAAAAACTAGGAATATTTTATTTGGTAGGGGTTTTTTGGGGGGAAAATTTTGTGAAGTCGCGGGGGGTAGTTAACATGGTCTAGGAGAATATTTTAATGGGCCAAAATGAGGGGATTTTGGAAAAAGCCAGTGGCACAAATTTTGACAATGACAGTAATGGGGTTTAGTGGGAATTTAACAAAAAAGGGCGGGAAGGGGTTTAAAGAGTTAGGAGGGTCAAAAAAAATTTTTTACCAAAAAGTCGCAGGGCTAGGAATAAGATGGAGGGTTTTGGGAGACTGGGTTGTTTAGTGCAGGTAAAATGATGTATTTGCCTTTTATGAGACGGGTTTTAATTAAAAAAGTCGGGAATCCCTGCGAATTTTCACTTTCCAGGGTTTTAAATTTTTCCCAAAAGTAGATGGGAATATGGGGGAAGGGGGGGGTTGGGGGTGGCTTGTATGTCCGAGATCGTTAAACTTTTGCAAAAAAACGGGTATTAAGTCTGAAGTAAACATCCCGAGTCTGTTTGGTTTAGAATTTTCAGGGGGACATGAAAAATTTAAATTTTTAGGGGTGTTATACCGCCCCCAAATTTGATAGGGACCAGGGGGAATACTATGGGGGGGAAATTTTTTAGGGCCAAAAGGGCACGATGATGTAGTAATTCTAGGAGATTTTAAATTTTGAAATATTGTTTGGGAAATTTTCTTGACGGGGAAAATTTGGGAATCTTACGATTTTTTTGAAAAAATTTTGGGGGGGATTTTTTTTGAAGCATTTTGGTGACAGACCTAAAAGGGGTAAAAACCCTGCTTGACTTATTTTCGGGCAAAAAATTTGAACCCCTTGTTAATTTTTTAGAAGTTTCAGAGGAACTGGGTGTTTTAGCGACCACAAATCAATTACATGTGGGAATTTGAATGGAAGTTTTTATAGTGGGGAAAACTAAAGTAACATTTCCCCAGATTTCGTTAGAAAATTACGAGGGGCCCTTAGGAACATTTTTCATCTGTTGATGGGGTAACGAAGAGAGCTATCATTTGCCCATTTTTTGGGAAACACAAACTTTGTCCCTAAAAAAAAAACGTTTTTCCCTTAAAAAGGGAAATTGATAAAATAGAAAGGGCCCCCCAAAATGGTAAATAATAGGCGGGAATTTTCTTTAGGGAAATAAAAAAAGGAATTTATGGGGGTTTAAAAAGGGGGCGAGGGTCATCTTTTAAATTTCAGTATTTTTGTTTTAAGAGGGACATTAAAAAGGGGAAAAAGGGAAAAGCAAAAAGGGGATTTATGAAATTAAATTTCTAGGGTTTCTAAAAAAACCCCAAAAAGTTTTTTCCAGGTCTATAGAAAAAAAGTCAGAGAAAAGATAGGCCCCCCTTAAAAATAACTATGGGAAACTTATTGACAAAGAGAAAAAAAAGGCTCGATTTTAAATAATTTTTTTTCTCTGGGTTTTTTTCCCACAGGAAGCCCACTAAAATTTTTCCCGGGAAATTTAAATTTTTTATAGTGGATCAGAAAAAGATAAATTATGTAACATCACGCCTATTTAAAAATGGTTGGGGAAGGCAAAATAGCGGGACTGAAGAAAAAAAAAGTCACCGGGCCCCTGTGGGGTTTTTTTTAAAAGGGTTTTCTAAACAAATGAAAAAATGGAAGTCTGTGAACCATTAACTAATTTTTTTTTTTTTTTTCTTTTAAAAAAACAGGTTGCAGTGTCTGATTGGGGAAAGGGGGCTAATGAAATTCCTTTTTTTAAAAACGGGGGGAAAGTCTTTTCCGTAAAATTTACCGCCCAATAACCCTGACCTCAATTGTAGGAAAATTTACTAGATTTCCAATTATAGCTGGGGTTTTTTAAGAAGCCATCTCGTTAAACATACCCTTGTTTTTTTGATACTCAGCAGGATTCAAAAGAGGCCGGTTTTGGGTCAAAACAAATTTTAAAAAACTTTTTTCCCGAAAAAATTTTTTGAGGCTGTTGCCACGAAAAAAGAATTTGATATTATTTACTTAGTTTTTTAGAAAGGGCATTTGACAGAGTTCCGCACCAAAGACGGGAAAGGAAAAAGTAGGTCAGGGCTTTGGGGGGAAAAGGCTACTTGGGGGATCGTTTATGGCTCACAGACAGGAAAGAAAAGGGTTTTGCCCTTTAAATGGGGAAAAATCCGAGTGGGGGTTCGGAAAACAATTTGGCTTTCCCACAGGGATCAGTCTTGGGCCCGTTGTTGTTTTTTTTAATATATTCAATGATCTTGATGAAGGAAAATTTTTTGTGTATGAGAAAATTGGGCCGATGCCCACGAAGATAGGTAGGATAATTGTTTTCAAACGAAAGATGTTAGGGAACTTCAGGAGGATTAGACAAATTTCTACTCTTGGTCAAAAAAGTGGAAGAGATTCAAGGGAGAAAAAGGAAAGGTTTGAAGCTCGGGAGTGTCCAAAAACCCTAGAAATTATAAGTTAAAAAATTGTGAATTTAACCATACAAAAGGGCCCAAAAAAGGATTTGGGGGTTTTATGGTAAGCAGCAACCTTAAACCAAGAAAAGAAAATGCCAAAGCGCCCGTAATAAGGCAAAAAAGTTTACTGGGTTTTAAATATCAAGAAGGGGAAGAAACAAAAAAGCCTGAGGTCTACTGCGCTTTTACTTCTTTTAGAAAGGCCTCCCCTGTTTTAAAGGCAGCTCAATTCGGGTTTCCCCAAATTTTACAGAATGGCCCATAAATTCGTTAGAAAACATTAGCGGGGAGGGATAAATTAATACATAGCATTAGAAATCTTCCTTATGAAAAAAGATTAAAGACTTTAAGTTCTTTTAAAACTTGTTAAAAAGAAGAAGGGAGGGGAGACCTGATCGAAAATGTATAAGTGGAAGATTGGTATTAATAAAAGGGGTAAAATTAAAAAAGGTCTTGGGGGTATTCTCCAAGAGAGAACCCGCATGAATGGGGGTTAAATTAGATAAGTTTTGATTTAGAAAAGGACTAGGAAAAGTTTTTGGTTTGGGGAAAAAGGGGGAGTAGATGAGTGGAAACAGTTTACCCCAGTTGGGTTATTTGGGGCTAGGGGCTTTGGGGAGTTTCAAAATTTTGGTTTTGGTAAATACATGGTGGGAAGGGTTGGATTTTTAGTGGGGGCTTGCCCCATCAGAGCTTATTTCTTGGGTTTTTGCATTGAAAATTGGGTATCAAAAGTTTGTTAGTGGGAAAGAATTGTAAAGGACCTGCCCAGTTTTGGGCCAAAAGGGCCGGGCAGTGTTTTCCTTTCCTTTTTTTAGTTCTTAGGGTTTTATTGCCCGAACCATTGCCAAAAAATTCTTCATTGCATACCAAAAAATAAGAACATGTAGAAGGTCTGTGAAAGAATGGTTTTTAAAAAACCCACAAGGGTTTAAGATTGAGACAGTTTTGCAGGGATATGGGAAACTTTATTCAGAAAACGTTTTTGCCACCCCAGTTTGGGTTCATCAGCCAAACCCAAAGGGGGGCCCTAAGGAGAGGAGGAGAGTATGGGGGGGTTAAAACAGTCCCTCAGCCTGGAAATCGATGTGTTCGTCCATCAATCTTTAGAAGGGACAGCATTGGGCCGTAGGGGGTGGGTTTTATAATGTAGTGAGGTGGCCCTGAAAAAAGGGGGGGAAAGGGGGGGGGGGGGCGGAGTCCTAGTGGTACTAAGAACATAGGAACATAAAAAAGGGGAACACCCCGGGAGCAGGCCTGTTTTGGCCCCCTAATAGGCAGGTCCTTTAAAAATTCATCCACTAAAAAACATTTTTCCTACCCAATTTTTAAAAGGCCCACCCCAAAAAAAAGTTGATGTGCAAGTCCCAAATCAAATCCCCAAACCCCTCCCACTTTATGTATTTATCCAACCTAAAAATTTTAAAAAATATCCAAAATTAGCCCCCAATAAAACCCCAAATTGGTAGATGTTCCCCCTGTTAATACCCTATTTCCCAAACCCAAAAACTTTCCTATGTCCTTTTTTAAAACTAAAAATTATTTTTAATTTAAACCATTACTGGGGTTCTCCTTGGAGGGATTATCCCCAAAACCCCTTTTTAAAAATCCCTTTATTAATACTTTTCTTCCACTTATAACTTCGATCAGGTCTCCCCCCATTTTTTCGTTAACAAGTGAATGTTTAAAAAAAGGGGTTTCAACTTTCTTTATAAGGAAAAAATTTTCTATTTTCTATGTATTAATTTAGTCATCCTACCCCTGAATGTTTTCTTAAAAGGGAAATTTTTGTAAATTTTGTAATTTGGAGACCAGAAATTTAGCTGGGATAGTTAGGGAGGCCCTAATTTATGTTTTTAAAGGGTGCATTTTGACCTTGGGGTTCTGTTGCTTACACTTTTGATATAAATCCCAAATAATTTTTGCCTTTTTAAGGGACGCTTAGGCATTGCTGTCTTGGTTTAAGGTTGTTTCTTACCCCTAACCCCCAAGTCCTTTTTGCAATTGTTGGTTAAGTTTACATTATTTAATTATAAGTGCTGGGGGTTTTGGGGCAATCCCGAGCTTCCCGGGAAACCCTTTAATACATAAGAACTAAGAAAAAAAGGGAAAACTGCAGCAAGCCCGTTTGGCCCATACTGGCAGGTCCTTTACAAATTTATCCCACTTTAAAAAAATTTGACCAAACCCCCAAATTTTTAATGCCACCCAAGAAAAAATGCTCCCATGTGCAAGCCCCCCCCAAATTTTTAAACCCCCCCATTGTACTTATCCAACCTAAATTTGAAACTAACCCCAAAATCCTGCCTCAATAAACCCCAAATAGGGGGGAGACTGTTCCCCCTCTCAACTACCCTATTTTTCCAAACCCAAAAACTTTTCCTTTTGTCCCTTTTTTAAAACTAAAAAATTATCTTTAAATTTTAAAACCCTTATGCGGGGTTTTTCTCTTTGGGGAATATCCTTTAAAAGGGCCTTTTTAAATTCCCTTTATTTAAAACCAAACTTCCACTTATTTCCCCTTCGATAAAGGGCTCCCCTCATTTTTCGTTTTAAAAAAGTGAATGTAAAAATTTAAAAGTTTCAATCTTTCTTCATAAGGAAAATTTTTTAATGCTATGTAAATTAATTTTTCATCCTACGCTGAATGTTTTCTAAAGAATTTTTGTCCATTCTGTAATATGGAGACCAGAATTGAGGGTGCTAATCTAGGTGAAAGGCCCTTTCTAATTTTTGTATAAAGCTGCAGTTTTGACCTTGGGGCCTTTTTGTTGCTTACACTTTTTGATAAAATCCCATTAAACTATTTGTTATTACGTACGCTTAGGCATTGGTTTTTTTTGGGTTTTAAAGGGTTTTGGGTTACCATAACCCCCCAAAATCCTTTTCGCAAACTGTATGGCTAAGTTCTACATTTTTTTAAAATTTTAAGTTCTAGGGTTATTGGGGCACTCCCGAGCTTTAGAAAACCCTTTCATTTTTTCTACATTGAAATGGGATCTTTCCACTTTTTGACCAAGGGGTTTAAAATTTTTCTAAATCCTCCTGAAGTTCCCCAACTTTTACGTTTGAAAACAATTATCCTTTCCCATCTTCGTGTATCAGGGAATTTGCTCATTTTTACTAGTAATTTCCCTTTATCAAGACATTGATTTTATAATTTTAAACAAAAAACGGGCCCAAGGGCGATCCCTGGGGGAACGCCACTTTTTAATGATCCCCCTCGGATTTTTAACCCCCTTTATGGAAAAACTCTTGCTTCCTTTTCTGTGAGCCATGACTCGATCCACGAGAGCCCAAACCCTTTTCCCCCCCTGCCTGGCTGCTTTCTTTCTTCAAAACAGTCTTTGGTTTCCCGAAAACCCATCAAATTTCCTTACTAAAAACTAAGTTAAAAAATACAAAATTTTTTATCATGGTCAACAGCCCCAAAAGCTTTACTGAAAAAAAAGTTTTAAAAAATTAGGGTTTGGGCAAGGGGCCCGGGCCCCTTGTGGGAAACCATGTGAGTATCATTAATCAGGGTTGCTTATCGGATGGCTTCTTTTTAATTCAGTATAATTTTACCCCTAGTAAATTTTCCTCAATTGAGGTCAGGTTTTTGGGCGGTAATTTGACGGTTTAAAGCTTGTCCCTGGTTTTTAAAAAAAAGGAAAATTTCATTCGCCATCTTCCAAAAATTTAGACACTAAAACCTGGTTTTTAAGAGGTAAATTAAAAATATTAGTTAATGGTTCACGACTTCCTTTTTTCATTCCTTAAGAACCCCTTAAAAAACCTTCAGGACCCCGGGGGTTTACTTATTTTGCTTTAATCGGTTATCTGCTTCACAACCAAAATTTTCCCAGTGACTGTGATGTTACTTAAATTTTTTTCTTTGATCCACTTTTAAAAAATTTAAATTTCCCGGGAAAATTATTAGTGTCTTCCTGTGTAAAAACCCAAAAGGGGAAAATTTAAATTTTTTAAATTTGACCCCATTTATTTTCTTTGTCCGTAAGATTTCCCATTGGTTTTTTTTAAAGGGGGGCCTATTTATCTCTGACTTTTGGGTTTTTAATTTCCTGGAAAAAAAAATTTTTGGGTTTTTTTTTTTGAAACCCTAGAAATTTAATTTCATTGTCCCTTTTTGCTTTTTTATCCCCCTTTTTTAAAGTCCCTTCCCTTTAAAGTCAATTTTATGTTATAAGATTTAAACCCCCGCCTCTTTTGATACGCCTATTAAAAAATTTCCCTTTTTTATGCCCTAGTAGGTATTTAGCCTTTTATTATCCATTTTGGGTCAAATTTTTATTTGATCTAATTTCCCCTTTTAAGGGAAAAAAACGTTCTTTGAGCACCATGTTTTTGTTTTTTAGAAAATGTCATATTGTAGCCCCTCTTCGTTTACCCCCCCCCCGTCAACAGTGATAAGTGTTCTCTAAACCCCTCGTAATTGCTAAGCGAAAAATCTGGGGGCTGTTACTGAAATTATCCCTTTATCATACTTTCCCTTCAATTTTTAAATGTAATTTATTTGTTTGGGCGCTTCACCCGTTCCTTGAAAAATTCTAAATTTTTAAAAAAAGGGTTTTATTTTTTTGCCCCAAAATAAATCAAAAGGTTATTTCCCCCTTTTAAGTTCTGTCACAAAAGGGTTTTAAAAACAATCCTGAAAATACTTCTAAAAAATCGTTTTTTGTTTTTAAAATTTTCCCCGTCAAGAAAATTTCCAAAAAATTGACTAAAGGGTTTTTGTCTCCTAGGGAATTTAAATACATTTTTCGTGCCCTTTTGGGGCCCCCCAACAAAATTTTCCCCCCATAGTAGTTTTCCCTTGGGGCCCTATCTAAATTTGGGGGGGGCGGATATCAACCTAAAATTTAAAATTTTTCATTCCCCCCTGAAAAACTATCCAAAAAGCTTGTATGTGTTACTTCAGACTTAATACCCGTTTTTTTTGCCCAAGTTCCCAAACGCTCGGAAAATTTCAAACCACCCCCCCCCCCTTCCCGATTCTTCTATCTACTTGGAACAAATTTAAAACCCGGGAAAGTGAAAATTTTTTGCAGGCATGTCCCGACTTTTTTTAATTAAACCACGTTCAGTAATGGGGAAAAAAATCTATGTTACCTGCATAGCAAATAGTCCAAATCCCTCCCTCTTTCCTTTGCCCCTGCGACTAATTTTGGGGTTTTTAAACTTAAGGAACCCCCAAATCTCTTTACCCCTTTCCCGCTCCTTTTTGTTTTTCCACTAAACTTATTACTGTCCCTTTTCAATTAGTGCCACTGGGGTTTCCAATATCCCATTTTTTCCCTTTTCTGTTTTTTTCTGTACTTTGTTACTACCCCGCGGCCCTTTACAGTTTTCCCGCCAAAACCCATACCCCCTAATATTCCTAGTTTTAAAAACCCAACAGCTCCCTCCACTGCGTTGGGGCCGGGGTCCCCCCCACACCTAGGGTAAGTGAACCCCAACCCCGGCATACATGTCAATTTTTGCCCTAGAAGAGGGCCCGTTGTCAATGAATGTTACCCCATTTTTCCTTTTTAGTACTTGTCCAGCCCGCAATTGACCCCCAATTGTTGGACAACCATTCATTTCCCAAATCCTTCCTTTGGGAAAATTTCCACATTGACGGTTTCCCACCCCTTTCCCCCTAATTATCTCTATTGCTTACCTAAAACCTGGGTAATCAGGTTTCCCCCCCTCCTACGTCTGCCCAACCCTCTTTTCCTCCGCACTGAGGGCCCGATAATTTGGATTGCTCCCATTACCTCTCATGTTTTCATTTCCCGCGGCTAAAAATATCCTTATCCCAAACCCCCGGAAAACACACCCCTGGCCCCATCCTACCTTCAAAAAGAAGGGCCCCATTTCCCTGTACCTAATCTGGCTATCCCCCAAAAACAACAATGTTTTTTTCCCTTTCCCTTTGGGGTGTCCGTTGGGGATGCTCGGTTGTTTGATCACATTCGGCCCGGTAGCATTTTCCCCTTGTGAATTTTGTCATGACGGGTTTCGATGGTCTTCGTTGGGGGGTTTTTAAGGGTGCTCACCCCAGTCTGCCAATGCTTCCTTTGGGGTCGTTTTTGGGATTCCCAGTAGAAAACTCCAATTTGTCAGGTAGCACCGAGAAAGAGTTGGAAGTTTCCACGGCAGTCTTTGGTTTCTGTTGTTTCTGCCCCCTCCAACCGTTTTCTTTAAAACTTCAGCTTTTGGTTTTCCCGTTTTCCCGGGGCCCCTGACCAAGCTCCCCCCTTAACCCCCCCCCCCCCCCCCCCCGGGGGCTCACCAAAAGGAGGATTACTTTCGAAACCTCTTTTTTCCTCCCTTAATCGCCCTATCTCCCGTTTTTGCAACTCTGAGTTTTCTCTCAGCTGTGGTTTAAAAGGGTGCTTAAAAAGAGGGGGATCCTGGTCGAAATTTACGGGGAAACACACAAACAGGTCTTCACAGAGCTAAGTACACGTCACCACAGAGCTAAGTACACGTCACCACTAGTCGAAGTAGGTCTTCGTCCAAAGGTTGAACAAGTGTTGAAGAATTCTTTGTAACAAGATCCCATGATGCTGCAGTGTCTGACAGTTGTGATGAATGGTTTGAAAAACCGACAAGTTGAAGATTGAGACACTTATGCAGCATATGGAATCTTTATTCAGGAAACGTTTCGCCACACAGTGGCTTCATCAGTCCAATACAAAAAGGAAGGCGTAAGGAGAGGAGGAGTATGAGGTAATCAGTCTCTCAGCCTGGAGTCGATGTGTTCAGTCCATCAGTCTTGTAGAATGTACAGCATAGGGCCGTAGACGTGGCTTATATACTGTAGTGAGGTGAGGTGAAGCAGGCGGAGGCGGGGTCATAGTGGTA